GTCCCCTACCTGCTGCTCCGTGCGGGCGAAGGGTACTTGAGAAACTGCCGCCCCGGCACCGGGCGCGGGTCATTTGCGATCATGTGAATATGCAGATTAATTCAGGGGGTTCGCGGAGGCTTCTTAAAAGAAGAAGCCAGGGCCGAAGCGAGCCCACTGTGCTGCTGCAGCGGGGGCTGCGCAGCATCGGGAAGGGCTCAAAGGTTTCTCAGTTTCTTCTGTGCCGCACAGCCTATCGAAGGAAATAAAGTCTAAGCTGCTCTGCCGTCAAGGAGCTTTATCCACCTAAAATACCTATTGGTACATTACCAAAACTCTGCTGGTTACTCAAAGTGTTTAATTTTTTGGAAGTTGCTGAATTCAACAAAGTTTTGCCTAGTGTGGAAAGCCAACGGAGGCCAGTGAAAAGAACTGTTGAAATTAGACCATGATGCTATTGAGGAAATTCAGATGGTCCTCACCTTGAGAAGAACCCATTGAATCTACAGTATGAAAACAATCCATTGAAAAAACCAGCCCTTTACATAATAAGAAAAAAATCAAAGTCACCTAAGTTGCCAGGCACAATTATTTTGTTAGAGAATGCACAGAAGCTGTTGCTTGAAGAAGACAGGGGTGAAAATGGAACAAAGTATCTAGAAAACCCTCTCTTTCCAGTGGCTTAGACCTTTGCATTCAGTAAAAGAATCTGTGCATAAGTTATATAGAAAACATTTTAAGGGACACGTTCAAGTGTTAAATGAGGTTAAAATAGCATGCACAGAGAAACTACATCTACTGCAATGCATCCATGCAGCAACAAAGAAAGAATCAAAGTTTGGCATGATGATCAGCCAGCCTGTATGGGACACGCTGCACCAGACAACCCTTCCGACTATCAGAAAACAGCGCAAGATCTGAAGAACTACTTTGGGCATGGAAACCACGGACAGAAAGTCCTCTCTTTGCTTCTGCTAGGAGATCGTAGGTAATAATTTACACCACTGAAAGGCAAGTATAATGTATGACACTGTCAGTTCAGGATGCCCTGGACACATTTGTACATGCAGCAATAAAAAAAGTCATGCCTGTGTGTTAAATACTTACCAATAACAGCTTATGGTAAATGCAGGTGATCATAAAGTACAAATGTAGGTGTTTCTCTCACGTTTGCTTGCTCTTCCCCTAAAGCCATGTCATAAAGGATACCAAGGGACATTCACAATTTGATGGCAAAAGAAAAACAGCTGGCTGGATGATTGTCTTTCTTGTTTTCAAGCTTTACTTCATTTGCTTATGTCTTGAGCTTACTCAAGAGGGGGTACAGTCATCATTACACAGCTCTGCTCTTTCATTTGGTGCGTTTGGTTTTTCAATCTATGTCCTTTGCAGTCTGCTACAGTGATTCCAGAAACTTCAAGTCCTAACGCTATCTTATTGACACATAAACCCATTGTATGCTTCGTATACTCACAGACCAACTTTTTATGTCAAGGCTGCAGGAGGAGTTCCTCACAGTGAAAGGATTTCACTTTGGATGTTCCTCTGCATAAGATTTTTTTACCCCTATTTCCTTTTCCCCCTCTGCCAGGAATTACTGTACAAAAAGCTCCTTTTTAGTGCTCTGTTTCAAACACCTGTGGATTCCCATGATGTAGCTTGAACGTGCCACGTCTTTTCCCACCCGCATTTGGTGAATTCATTATCTGATTATTTCAGACATTTACGCCACGGCTACTTCTGTCATACAAATCCTTTTCTCTGTTGTTCCAACAGCTACAAAAGGCACATGTACAAAACTCAAATTTCTTTCCAATTTTGGAGCTGGCTGTTTGAAATCAGGGCTGAGGTTGCTTTCTTAGCTTTGCCCTGACAACACATTTGTTCTTTGGCACCTTGCAGACTTGGCTCCTGCAGCCCATTTGTTTGTTCACAAACAAAATTCACTTAGCAAAACCAACAATTCGTTTCCTTGCAGATATAGCATATACCTGCTCTTTTTAATCTGCAGAGCAGATCAGTGCCACATAGAGAAGCCAGAACATTAATAACTTCTGTCACTGCTACCATTCTAATTGCAATAGATCTTCTGGAGGATTAGACAAAGGTTGTGGCCGCATAAACAGAGAAAGGCAATGCTTCGGGCACAAACCTGGAGCAAACTGCACTGTGCCAGCTCTGATCAAACACACAGACTTATGCTCTGTTGAAAGCACAGAAGGCAAGGAAGATAGCCCTTGAGATGGCACTGAAACACAGAGGAAAGCTGCCCTAGTTTGTCCAGGGATAAATTTGTTAATGTTGGGAGTTGGGACCACATAGATTCCTTTTTTTTTTTTTTTTTGCTTCTGTATTTTTGTCTTTATAAAACCTGGCTTAGCTCATTTTGGACCTCTGCCCAAGGATGAAATATTTCTCTTGCTGCTGTGCTCAACATGGTTAAGGAAATAACTTCCAAAGAATATATATGAAAAATTTAAAAATGGTGTTAATGTTCAGTCCATGTCTGAGGGGGGGAAAATGCAGTTGAATCTCACTGTGCCTCTGCTTCTCCTTCACTGAACATTAACTCTGAGTTTCTACAGTCATTTTTAGGGCACCATGAATTAAAGATCTCCATAGGAACGCAAGCCATGATGAGAAGATGCTAAAACACGTAAGACACATCCCCATTCTGAACAAGGACTTCCCAGACAGTTGAAGCGTGCTGGATCTGGGCTTTTGGTTTGGTCTGCTATGGAGGAGAGGGCACACTGCCAAAGTAGGAGAGGAATGTGCAAACAGCTAATTCCAGCTCAAACAATATGAGGGAGAGAGGCAGAAAAACTCCCAGCACTAGATTCTGTCATCTCACTGAATAGCAGTGTGGGAAGAGTCCCTTTGCTCCTATGGTGAGTCTCATGGATATCCATCCATCCTGGGCAACTCTGTCAGATCTGCCTCATGGGGTTTGTCAGATAAGACTGAAGCAGAGAAAAGAAAGACCAAAATCCAAAAAAAAAGGACATAATTTAGAAGCACTGTGTGTTTTCTCAGTAGTCCTTTTCCACTTGTACCCAGAGGATCTGGACTGTTCTCCCTTTGCTGCTATTAAGCTCCTCAGCTCGCTTGGCTCCTCTCTCAGCACCACTTCAGGCTCTCAGTTTCCAAAAGAAATGAGGCTTAAATGCATGTGCTCTCTCTGTCCCCCACTCTTTCTCTGGGTGTTCCTGTCCTTTCCAACAGATCTTGAACCCAATGGCCAATTTCAGTGACAACTGATGGAGGATCAGAAATCCTGAGGCTGTTCAGGTTCCTGCCAGCCCCATGAGCATGAGTGGCCAGGGAGGGTTGCAGGTAACCACAGCAGAAGAGGCTCCAGGAGGATTTTCAGAAGTGCTTGAGTGATGGAGGGACTTAGCTGCTGTTTTCAAAGTGGTGCAGACTCCTAGGAGACTAAATTCCTTTGACCTTCCTTGGCTCCTGTTGACAAGAGTGTCTGAAAGCAGGCTGTAAGCCTTTCAGAAACCATTGACGCTTGCAGAAACTCTCAGACTTTCTTTTCTGACTGATTGAAAGTTTCATTCTGTTGTCACTAATAAATCCCCCTCCCCTCATCAATTTATGTTTTATGAGTTTGGGTTCAGCTTTGTCTACTAAAAGGATCTTACATAAAACACCGCTTACTGAAATGTGATCTTTGCACATTTCTGAAGTTTTAATTTTCCTGCAGCGTAATCTTGTTACTTAGGTCATTCATTTTGTCACGCCTCCGTATCAGTCTGGTCCAGGTTTGGCTGCAGGGCTATGTTCTCCTGACATTTAGAGCAAGAATTCCCTGGGAAATCAGTCAAGAGATTTGACATTGCTGCTGGCCAAGTTCCAGTGGGTTTAGTTTTACTCTCCTTCTCTATTTATTGTGGAATCTGTCTGTCCACAAGCTGCACACTGAGTTCCATGCTAGAGAAGGAGAAGTGAAAGGGACAAAATGGCCATTCATTTGGGGGATTCATTCAGACTTTTCAGATGATAGGTTTTACAAGAAGCTGTGCACTTAGATGACTGCTGAGCTTCCTTAGCCCTGCTCTATTACATCCCTCGTGAGACAATTTGGATTGACTGCTTTTTCTTTGCTCTCTCCCCCACCTCAATAGGTAGCAATTACAGTTGGAAAAGCAAAATTAAGATCTAGGTAGTACAGGAACCACCTGAAGGCTTTTAATCTTTAGAAACAGTTTAATTTCAACATGGCAGGGACAGGCCCTTTGCTGGAAGTATGAAAAAAAAGTCCTTTTTCTCCCCTTGTGCCACAAACTGCTTCACCTCCCATTGCAAAAAGCTGCCTTGGTGGCAGAGACAGCAGGATTTGATGAACTGGAGGGGAGGAGCAGGAAAGCAGCCCTGGCCACTCATGGGGGTACAGGAGAGTTGGGGGAAGAATCCCAGGTCAACTGGAAATGGGGGAGAGAAGTGGCTCTCTTGTGGAGGGGGGCAATGACATGCAGCAGCACAGGGCAGGGTGCAGAAGGGTCTGCACGCGCCAGGAGGGGAAAACAGCCCAACATGCTGGTGGCCTGTGCGCTGAGGGTTGTGTAGTCTTAGCCAGCGGGGCCAAAGAGATTTCTCTAACTTTGCTAGGTGAGACACTGAAATTCAGTTAAGCGCTCACAGATTTTATCAGCCACAGAAAAGGTAGTACTGCACTTCGTATATACCACTGTTGTATGCTCTTTAACATCCAGCCATGCTTTCCTGACTGATCTGAGTTGCTCTCCCTTACAGTCCTGCCACTGTTTCTAAGCTCCTCACCTCCAAATGCTCAGCCTCTTCCCTCAGCACTGCTTCAGGACTTCAGTTTCCTACAGAAATGAAGCTCAGTCAAAGAATCATGGAGTTTAAGACTAGATGGCAACAAAACATTTTCTAGTTAACTTTATATATATGTATCACACTTTACCTCATGACACATTTAATGAGTTCTATAACTTATATTTGGTTAAATATATTTTACAAAAAGCATCCTTTCTTGATTTGAAAACTCATGGGATAGAAAATCCACCCATTCCCTTGGTAACTTATTCCCAAGACTAACCATTTTCATCACCAAAAATGGTCTTTGTCTCTAAA